AGACATCAAAGTATTCTTTGATAAGATGGGCAGTGAACCCAAGCCTCTCACTGTAAAGTCACACATAGCAGCATTAAGTGTGACTTTACAGCAAGACGTGTTAGCAGCATTAGCTAAAAGCTAAGTGGGAAGTGACATACTCATTTACCCATTCCTCTGCTTCAACCCAATTCTGAGGTAGTGGGACCTGATTATTACAATTCTGTGAGACCTCCTGCTCTACTTAAACCCACCTGGGCCTGCTGCAACATTAACAAGCTGCTTACATATTAATGAATTCATAATTTTAAGCCTTAATACACACAATATCCGATTTTACTTTGGTAGAATTTTAATGGAGATTGACATGCTCCTTTACTTATGAAGGATCTGAGTAATACTTCTACCTCTGGCTAAAAGCCCAGATAAGCTGAGGAGTGTGTGCACCTTAAAGCAGCCACATGAGAACTAAATGTTTTTCTTGCATTTGCTTATCTTTTGCAACCTAAAGAGAAGTATCACATTCATGTTGCCTGTCAATTACAGGTGTCAGCTCTGGTTAGCGCTTCCATCTGTCAGGACATCAGGGTCATCAAATCCACACACCTCAGATGTCAGCTCTTAACACTAAAAGGTGTTAGTCGGTGAAAAGGGGCCAAGACAGGAAGGGAAGATTTTTGCATAAATCAATACTTACAGACGCTGCCAGTAGTGGATTGTGATCAGTCTGCATCATCGTCTTATTTAAAGCTTTGAAGTGGCAGGTAGATGCAAAGACAAGCATGTGTAGGGTGAAATAAGAACTAATGCAGCATGTAGTCAGAGTGTAAAACAACTGGCATCTGTTTTTACATCTCCTTGATGCTACAGCTGAAATATATTCTTGTAGGAGCCATTACATCATGAGAGAAACTAATCAAATTATCCATCAGAAGATGTTATTACATTATCAGACAGTTAATTACTTTAACATATTTTATCACATTTTGTACTCATCTAGAGGGGTGTATAAATCTGAAACATAATTGCTTCATGTAACACGCACACACACACACTGTGATACAATAAATGGACAAATAATCTCACTGACCTGTAGCAGGAAGGCGTCTGAAAACAACTGAGGCCTGAAGGATTTACTGTACCTGCAGTAAGTTAATTTACGTTAGCTTATGTTACAGGCAAGGTTACCCACACTATGTTGGATTGCTTTTACGGTTGGCCATCTGTTAACGAGACACCCAGCACCACATAATCTTTACACATGCAGAACTAATGATAAACATAAGATTACATGGGATTTTACTGACCTTTAAGAAAACAGGATGTGTGTGCATCAATAAAAAACATTGAAACATCTAAAAATTTGTCTCAAGTTTGTTACTGAAAAAAGTCAAATAAATCTAAATAATATTTTTAAGGGCTAGGTTAGATCTTCTAAAGTAGGGTTGAATGAGGTACTTATCCATAGATTATTACATAAAGTAGATACATCACGACCCCGGCATGGAGAAGCAGGCTGGAGTCCAACAGGAAAGCTAAGCAATGTACTGCTGTGGAGAGGTCAAAACATGTTTTAATCACCTAAAAAAAATCAATATTGGTTGAAGTGTATGTTATATTTTGAATAATTTTAATGCTTTACCTGACAGTAAGACAGCCCCGCTGTCAGGGGGGTCAAAGGATGAGATGACCCCAGCCTAAGGTCAAGGGGGGGCCCATGAGAAGGTCTATGGTTAACCTTTCAATGGGATCAAATACAACAATTTACTCACTGACTTATGTCACTGTAAAAAACAATGGGAAGATGCACCCAAGGAGTAATTTTTAGCAAATATAACCTGCTGAATTTGGCTCACTTTTAAAGCTACATGAAAGACACAGGTAACATATTAAACTAGAGGACTGAAGTCATCTATTGGTATCTTGTCGGAAAGGTGGCCAAATAACGCTCCGATGTTATGCTAAACTTTGGCGTGGAAAAAAGGAAAATTGTGTTTTCAGATATTTCTGCATATAGGGGTCCCTAAACAGTCTTGAAATTGAGTTTGACTGGAAAACTGAGAGTAGACAGTCATTAACTCTTTCACTATTACAGTTCTGCACACAATTTGACCAATATTTAATTAAAGTATCTCTCTGGCTTGAATGAATAAATGAAGATGGTTGATCCTATGATTTAATACCTTGTACTTATGTACTCAATCAATGTTTGAATTTACTTTTCTCTAATTATTTCACAATCAGTTTTGCATTATATTGTTGCCCCCCCTGCTCATATTTCCTAACGGCTGACCTGCAGTAAGACAGCAATGTCTGACGGCGAACTGAATCTGTTGTATTGCTCTTGTGAAAGCCAGACTCCATTGAGAAAAACAGTGGTTTAAAATCACTGAACAAAGGAGCTGCTGGTCTATCACTGCCTCACTTAGTTATTTTGTTTGTGTTATTGTCTGACTTTGCTGTTTGAACGGGTTAGTTCAGATTCACCAGGGTGACACGATAACACAAACAAACTAACCAATCGAGGCAGTGGTAGACCAGCAGGTCCCTTGTTCAGCAAGCTAAAATTACCATTTTTGTCAATGGAGTCTGGTGGCCCTGATGAGAGCATCCATGGAAGATCAAAGCCGTTCCCACTGGAGAGGGCCGTCTGACGAAAAGGTAAAGTGGTGAAATTATTGTCAGTAGAGCAGACACTTAAACTGTTATAGATTATTTTTGGTGGGGCTATTTTTAAGTGGTGTAAACACATTTTCTGTTTTGTTGCTGACCCCATCCACAGCTTGGTTTCCATGTTGGTGCTCCTGCCACCTCTCCAAACTGGGGGTGTGCAGACAGATATCTACTGTAGGTAACACACTGACTGTGGATAAGTACCTCGTACAACCCCACTTCAAAATATCTGAACTATCCCTTTAAGTGTTTGATATTGTACCTTGTGTTGTCTCCGCTGACCAAAATAGCATCTACAATTTTATGTTCCCATCTACAACAGATTCCTTCTGAGGTCTGCAGAGTTGGAGTAAACGTTCAAAAGTGGCAAATAACAAAGTGTGAATTACAGACAGCAACACAACTAAAAAGGCTTTCAACAGAGGCTGTTTGTTGTGTTTTGCTTCGCGAGGTAAACCCTTAACCTTACACCTCTACCTCTCTAGACATTTCTGCGGCTCTCTCTTCTAATTTCCTCTGAGTTGTCTCTGGTGTGAAAATGTGCCTTGATTGATCGTGTCAATTACAGAGAGGCTAATTTCAAAGGAACAGGAAGGGCTGCGTGGCTATTGCTCTCAAGTAAGCAGTCAATGGATGTCATAGATTACTTTAAGCCCCTTTAAGTCCAACTGCAATTTGTCAGGCCTAATAAAGGTGGAGACCAGCTGAGACATAAATTACTGTAGCTGCAACAGAAATCCCTTTATCTTCCTTAAACTGCTAAGAAGCAAACAGACAAAAAATCAGATTACAAACGTACCACATACTGACAGTGTAACAAGGAGAGAAGATAGAGTAGATAGTGTTAGTGATGATCATCGTTTCAAACAGCCTCCAGAAAACATGTTATTAGCGCAGAACATGATTTCCACCTCCCATTACTCAACACGAGCTGAGAGTAAGTATTAAAGGAGTGATGGAGAGCTACTTGCAGATGCTTTGAGATATTATAAATTGCTGAGAAGCCTATTATTAGCATATATATAGAGCGTTCATAAAGCTGCGATGTAAGATTTAATGGTGTATTAATAACAGGCTTGTCTCATGTTTTCAGCTTTGAGTGTAATTATTCTCTTGTAAATGCCATGACGATGATGGAAATATCCTCAAGCTTTTTTTTTTCAAAGATAAGCATCTTTCTATAATCTTATCAGGTATAAATTAGGCTACTCAAATGATAACTTCATTTTTTCCCCCAAAATGGAACCTAGTTTTCCATATTTTGTGTCTAAAAGACTACTAATATCATTTTTTTTTTTTAAAAAAAACTGGTCCAATATTTAGTGAGACAAAACTGGCTGCAATTTGATCCCAGCAGGCAATTAAACACTGTCGATATACGTCCACTAAATGTGCTTGTTTTGGAGTCCGGTCTCTCTCCAAGGTCGTTGAAATCTGGCACTTGGGCAGTGCTTGCAACATTAGAAACCAGTGAAAAAAGCGCCTTTTAACTCTGGCATGATACGCAGCCGGTTGCCGTTATAGTTTAACGGCCCCAAGTGGCGTCAGGGGGAAATGTGGTGGGACAAGGACGAAATTTAAGGTGGCAAAAGTTCAAATGGGGCAGGCGGTGGCAGATCGGTCCAAGAAACACAGATTTTCACCCATGAGAGGGGCGTTCGCGTCCCCTAAGATTCTAATACCAAACCCTGTTCTTTTTTCCTAAACCTAACCATGCACGTATGCTAGCGCCAGCATGCTAACACACTCATATTGGTAATGCTAACACTGAAGTTTATAAGGTGTAATGTTTGTCATGTTCACCATCCTAGTTTAGCATGTTAGCATGCTAATCATAAACAGTGGTAACAGTCTGTTTTCATGCACTGACTGTACATACATACTACTATATACGATACTGTACATACACTAATGAAAAGTAATGCTCTCCAATTCATATATAACCCACATAATCATATGCCAGTAATTTGGAATGAAGTAGTATAAAGAGTGAAAGGCCATGTAAGGAGGTAGGTTGGGGTGGTGGATCGGTCAAACAAACACAGGACTCCCCCCCCAGGAGACCACTTTTCAGGACTGTGTGAAACCAAGTGAAGTTATTTTACAACCCACAACTTTTAAGTTGTTGAAAACCGGTGCTTGGTCAGTGACTCCGGCATCAGACAACAATGAAAAGTTGTCCTTTAATATCAGCATGATGCATGGCCAGCTGCTATTATAGTTTAATGGCGCCGGGCAACATCAGGGGGATATGTTGCTGGACCAGTTGGGAACCACTGCTCTAAACCACCATTAAATGGAAAATATGGCACGCCATTATGATTTAACAATCAAAAATAATCAGTTCATGATTCAAACTTAATTTTTAATTTTATTTTTATCACTCCTTTGTACATCAAAATATAGGACAGGGTGTTACATTCAAGGCACAGTTCAATCCCTCCAAACCTTTACTTTTTTTTGTGTTTGCCACATACAAAACAATATCCAGATTGGACTATGTACACTTCATCAAAGCAGTAGATCAGTACCAAACTAACAAGTAAACTTTTTGACTAAACATTTTACACTGTAACATGGCTTGTGCACTTGTACGGGAAAAGACATACCAAACAATATGTACATTTGAAAAAATATCATCCTCACTATTAAGACAGACTGAGATGCAAAATGCTGCTTTTATCACTGACATCTTTCTGTGCTCTTAAACTCAAAACTCAAGATTCATAAGAGGTTAAAGTATATCAAGAGCTCAGGTATGAATGGCTCACTTTTGCTCTTGTGATAAATCTGAGGCACATAGTTACAATGCTTCCTGATCCATTTTAACAAGAAATTTGTGTTTTGCTTGAGTGGCAGACTTTAAAATCTTGACGAAGCACCACACACCTCAATATTATTTCTTCCTATATTGCACAAGCTGCTTCACGAGAAAGAAAACAGCTCACTTTTAGATATTCTATTTGATACAACAGCAATAAAGTGACTTTTAAATAATTTGTCAAACTGAAAAACAACTGCACAAAGATGTCAAAACCTCTATGACTCTGCTGAATTCAAGTTTTTTAATCCACCTGTTAGTGCTGTTCATGTTCAGAAGATGTGCGTTGAGTTGCAATGTATGGTTAAAAACTCCACTGTGCAACTAAAAGTGCAATAAATCAACACATTTATATTGTAAACTGACTGTGTCACATTACAGGACTAACAAAGAGCTACAGCTGATACCCAAGTCGAAAATGTTTTACTTTGAGTACTTTAAGAAAATAACTGACAAACACTTAAGTGAAGGATAAAGAACAACAAATTCTCCAACAATATGCAGCTGCATTTGAAACTGAGATATGGGCATCAAAACATCTTTTGCTCATCTTCAGCCCACCAACACACAAAATAAAGTTCAGACAACAGTGCTACATTTCAGCTGCACATCCTCTCACTGTAAACAAAAGCTTTGGTGAAGAGGCAACAAATAGAAACAAACAGAAAGGAAACAGCTTTATCTCCACTTCAAATGTTTGTTAGTGGGTAAACACGTCAGTTACATTCATGGAAACATTACAGAACAGAAAAAGGCATGGTGGGTGATTCCGGTGTTCAGGCAACAAACTTGTTCTTGGTTGTGGAGCCGCTCTTTGTGGCCGTGTCTGCATGTGACTGGTATCCGATGATCACTTTTGGTGGGACGCCTAATCTGTCTTTGTACACACGCCTAAAGAAAAGGCAAAAAGAACAAACACATTAGCAGATAAACACAGAAAACCATTTCTTAATGTGCCTATAAATGACAACTGAAAGACAGACTGGCCTATAACGTACATAATCCTCCCCAGTGTTATCTCTATTAATGTATCCTGCTGCAGCAAAGTAATTCTCCGAGGTCGTCCAGTGATCCTGTATCTTTAACATATTTTGCCCCAGAGGGATTTTCTTTACAAAAGGAGAGAAAAGCTGAAACATGATACTGGGGATTTAAAAGCTAAATGCATATCTAACACTGTACAAGTGAGTAAAATAAAAGTAGGGACAGCAGAGGAGATACCAGCACATCAATGTAACTGGGCTAGAGAGTCGCATAAAGGTCCAGGGGCTGAGATCAACGCAAAAATAGTCAATCTGCCTGTGTCTGCATCTGTTCTGTGAAGCAGTCATGTCAGTAGCACTGATGGTAGTCAAGGACTGAAATGTTTGCTGCTGTTTTTATTCACTCTATCATTTTTTTTGCACTTTGAGCACTTCTTTCGCACAGACATTTAGATAAATTGACTATTTTTGCATTGACTGCAGCTCATTCAAAACTCCACAGCTCTGCTATTAACCAGAACCAAGAGGAGAGCGCACATCAGGCCAGTCTGAGCTGGACCAAGCGACACTACTAACTTGTTAACTATTTGCCTCCAAGAACACTGCAAGCATCTGCTGCTGGTTTACTGGAGGTTCACAGCAACAGCTGAAAGAAGATCAGGGATGCAGCCTTTGACTTTAACTAGCACTGACTTCCTGATATAAGTCTGAAACTCTTTATATTTACACTTCACGCTGCTGTAACTCTTTTAAAATCTTACTTGAATTTATAATTTATAGTTTTACAACTCTGATTTTGTGTTCATTCTGTCTGTCTTCATGTGCATCACTCAGTGCTTATGCTGCTCTTATTGTAAAGCACTTTGTATGAAAGATGCTATATAAACAGAATTTATTATTATTAATATTACTGATCTCGGCCTGTGGACCTATTTGTTGCTTTCCAGCCCAGTTACACTGGTGTGCGTGTGTGTATATCTCCTCTGCCGTCCTTTCTTGTTTGTCTCTTGTACTGACACACCCAAGACAAACTTGGTAGGCGCAGTTTCACAGCAGCCTTAAGACTTTAAAATACAAGTAACTCATTTAAAACTATCTGGGACTATAAAACTATTTTCCAAGTTAGAAAAAACAGAAGAAGAGCCTTACACAATCTTTTAAATGTTTAAAAATGGTTCTATATCAGGGCTTCCATTGGCACTTCTGACTGTGCTGAGTCAAAGCATGTCACACCGATTTGCGTTTGACAGTTTCAGCATGCCACGCCATGTCCAAAATGAAACATCTCTGGCGTCAGGCCAAAAGCACACCCAACCGCCTCCAAGAGGATAGTGGTGATGTCTTGCCAAACACAGCTGTCCCCTGACACCTCCCTTCTCCCATGTTTCCCCATCAAACAAGCCTGTGTTGCAACACTAAACTCATGTCTGTTCAGGAAACCAGAGAGAAAAATGGTTTTAAAATCCTCTGTGTCTTCAGCTCTCAGTACTTTTGTAGCCTTTAACTAAATCTCTGTGGTTTGGAGTTTAGTTTCTCCCCTGCGTCCCTGTTTGTACTTTTAGATGTCTGCTTTGACTGTTTCATGTTTGCTTTCAGCTGTATAGAAGTCGTGTTGAGCTACTGCTGATAAAAAGTCAACATGTCCTTATTTTGCTGTTTCAAATTAACACTTTTAAATAACAGAAGACCTTTTTTTGAAGAATTTAAAGGATGTGTTTATGACTGAATAGGCAGGACTTTGTTAGCAGCTACTCTTTTATAAAAACAAGTCTAATACCAGCCACAGCGAGATGTTAGATGAAGAGCTGCAGTCAACAGGCTCACCTGCATATCTGCCGTGCTGTGTCATGGAAAACCACTTGCAGCAAAATAATGTGGGACCTTTAGCTGTGTATCAGCCTGCTGCTTTAAAATGTCATTGACTCAAGACAAGCATGTTATCAGTTAAAGACACACCGTCAAGCGGGAAGCCCTGTTGTAATGGAGACACAAATCTTTGCCTCTCTGGTCTGAGGTGCCGATTCAAACCAAGTAAAGCCATGTCAGCCCATGTATGGAAAAATTTGGGGGGCATTTGGGTTTTACGTGCACTATAAATTCAGTGAGAAAAGATTTCCTTCAGTTGACCTAATGTACCGATTCTTTTTAACATGTTAAGATTTGTCATCAGTGATCGTGGCATCTTCAGGTTACCCTATTTGTGTGATGGCATCTTTGTTTTCGTAGTCCGTGGTCCATATTGCTATTTTATCTCCTTTGGCTCGCACATTGATCACGGCTCCGCACACGTCATCACTGTAGTCACCAAAAGCTTCGCCCACAAGACACAAAAGCTGCAGGAGAAGCAGACATTTTTACTGGGGAGCAGTTAGAAGCTGATAGGCTTTTTTTTCAAGGCAGACATTTTGACTTGTCACAGAAGGAAATGCACAGATGTCACTAATAACATTAATGAGGGCTTCTTCCTCTATCAACCTGAAACCAAAGCAACAAAATAAAATTCAGTAGTCTTTAATTTCACAACTGTGCTTCTCCTGCTGTGATATGACAAAATGGATTGCTTGAAACAGGCCTAAAGATACAACTTATACTGGGATAGTTAAAGTCACCAATATTCGACAGGACTGAACATACCGTCTCCAACCAGAACCGATCCAGGTCTGCTCTACGCTGCTGCTTGGACAGAGTTATCAGCCAGCGGCCACCTCGTCGATTCTGTGCATCCTCCCACATGGGCTCAATCCCATCCTGTATCCACATAAAGGTCAAAGGTCAGAAACACTAAAAAATCCAAACATATCCATAGATCCATCACTAATAGTACAGAAAGTGGTTAAGTTTTATCGTTGTTCCTCTAAAAGCATAATTTAAGACGTAATTTAGTGTGGCATTACATTCTGCAAAACAAGATGTGGCTGATATTTGCATAATAGTTTCTGTTATGGATAACTATCAATACTCCTGCCAGTACTATATCACCAGTACTAGTTCATTGTAAAGTTTGCTATCATATATCAGACTATAACTGCTGTGACATGACCGCTGTCATATATATTTGAATACACTTAATTGACGTCTTCTGTCTCTAAACTACCAATTTCATCCATATGTGCCACTGTTTAATTTGGCCGTTCTCCCCCTTGTTAAGACATCCCGTTGGGCTTTTCTTGATGCTGAAGTAAAAAATCCTTACGAGAACGATGATGCTAGGAGTCACTGTAGTGTATATTTAGGTATATTTCTTTTAAAATCGAAAGCTTAAAAACTGATTCACTGAGGGCTCTAACCTGCAAGTTGCAGTTAGACAATTAATGCAGTCACTGTATATAGATTATGTCACTTGATAAAAGAGACACGCTCTAGATTCAATTTGTGTGGACTTGTGGCCAGCTTTGACATCTTGATATACAGTTCTGTCTGGTTTGATCACATTCTCAGTTTTTAGCTGGAGAAGCATTTTGTGGCTATAATCCAGACAGAACATGGATGTGATAAAAAGGTAGAAACATTGATGTATTCAAGTCAAACCAGGAGGAAAAAAACCCCAACCATCCCATATAAACCACGCAAATGAGAATGGGTTGTGTGGTTCCTATTAGATAAATAAAATACCTATGATTTTAGATTGAAGGGGTCAACTACTGCACAGAAGAAACAATCAAATATGCATTCCCAATTTGTCTAAAAACAGGAAATAAGTAAAGTCCAATTATTTTTTGAGAAAACTATTATTTAAAGAAAAAAATATTTCAGAATTAAAGCCGTCAAATATGCTAAAAAAATATATATGTTCCTCTATATTGTAACTACAACTTAAAGGGATAGTTCGACATTTTGGCAAATTCGCCTATTGCCGTAATCCCTATAGTCATATGGGTAGGTACATTACCTTTAATTATCAGTACCTGTTGTTCTGAGATCGGTGGGGCAGAGCTGCCTGCCCCATAAAATGTGATGAAGTTTTGAACCTAGTCCACTTTTGTGTTGGGATCAGCTGCAGACTGACTTGGCAGAGATGGCTGCCATCTTGTTTTTACATGGATTGGTGTATTGTGCTCTTACTACCGCTAGATGGCACAAAGTGTCCAGAAACAAGGACAACAGGTCTAAGTTAAGTAGAATGAAGTATAAGGTCAAGTAAACCCAAAACGTGATGTTCTCATGAGGACACAGGTCAAGAAATGACACCAATACCAACTGATCAGGTGGGCTCAGTCTGCTTCCAGACTGACTTTGGACAGTTTGTGGTGAGAATAATGCGGCAAGAAGAAAACACAGACCCTGAAGACAGGAAATGTTGCTAGAAAAATCAAAAGATTGAATCAAAGTTATGGGTCTTCAGCTTTTCCCACTCTCCTTTGATATGCATCTTCAAGCCAGCGCCTCACTACAACACGTTTGTTTTCTTTAGTTCTTCAGGAATGTATCACAAGAGCCTTGCGTTATATGAATTCAAAAGCCGAACAAAACAAGGGATTATATGATTCATCTGCTGATCATGGCAACTCCCCAGAAACATCTTCTCTAGTTTGATATGCATTTGGTAACCATCCCAGCATGTACATGCAAGGATTTTCCTCCACTGTATTGCGGCAAATCCTCATTATCAGTAAAACCTAAGTAGCAACCACCTTCATCTGATAGCTATAATTCTGCTCCATACTGCAGCACAAGATGACACATTTCCATCTTGTTTCTGTCACATTTATGACAGATAACATCCAGTTTCAGTCTTGACTGATGCTCATAACCAACTCTTTTTTTCATAAGCTCTTTGTAGCCACCAGAGAAGATAAAGTGAAGTTCAGTGAAGTGCAGCCTGACTTTCTGCTACTAACTGAAATAAACTGTTTTGATTCCCCTCACCAAATGGGTACATGTATAACTGATGATGGAGAGTCACAAGTCTGCAAAACTCACTCACATGAATGAAATACCCATCAAGCCATGTCACTTCATGTTTAATACCCTTGGTTCCTTTGTAATGAGATGGCACTAAATGGACCAGAATCACAATACATCAAAACCCCATTTCTACCGAACACTTTCATTATAGTACCTTTGGAACCAAAAGTGAACCTTCAGACATGGTACCTAGACCCTAGCGATTCCACCACAAACAGTACTCTTAAATTTGGGCGGGGTTGTTGTCAGTCATTGCTCCGTCTAGTTCTCGCTGTATTTCCTCATCATTGGTAACACACAGAAAGGTCTACACCTCGTTTATCGCGCAAAAATTGAGGTCACACACCGACATTTTCAGAACAAAAAATATCAAGCTGGAGAGAGAGAGAGTCTCTCCCGATGGGATATTTAAAACTAGCAGAAGTCGTCAACTCCTACATTTAGTAACATTACAAGTAAATGTCGCCGGCAGTCGGCCCAGTGAATTAAGTTATTTTTTCTCTGTCTATAGCTGATGTGAGAGGCAACAAAACATCCTCTCATTTTATAGTCATAGTTTACTAATATATTTAAAACTTGCTGAAATATGAACAGTGGTTACATGAGTTTCAAAACCAGCCACAACTCAGCCCTGAGCAGAGTGACCATCCTCTATTGACCAATCAACAGACTGCAGTGTTCACAGCTCCACCTTTTAGTACCAGATCTGTGTGCTAGGTACCCCAACAGAGGGGGAACCAAAAATGGGGACAGTATGGAGCAGTTGGTACCATCCACAACTTTTCACAGTGGAAACGGGGAAAAAAAGCGTACCGAACTCAACTGAACTGAACCATACTGCTTGGTGGAAACGAGACTTAAGGAAATTTTTTGTTTTGGTTCTGAAGATACACCTGAACTACAGATGGCTTTACAGAGAGCATAGATAACACTGTAACCTATGGCACAGCTTTTTGGTAATGGCTGAGTGGGAGCTTCCACCTGACAAACACAGAAAAGAACGCAGATGGAAGCTCCCTTTAATGGATATGTTGTTCAATGATAAAAGCACACTTACCTTAAACAGTGAGTAGTCACAGCCGGACATCAAATTACTTGATAGCTGAATGTGGTTGTATAATCTGGGAAGGATGGACAATATTTTATGTTCAACAGAAATATGGTGTAATATGAACTTTAACTTCAGGCATTTCAAACAACTGATAACTGATCATCGAGCAAATGTACCCAGTGTCACAGTATATTGACTGACACAGGTGTTAAGAGTACAACATGAACAAGAAAACTATATTTTCAGAGTTATTTTCCAAAATGTTACATTGCTTTTTGGTGGAGGAACACAGGTTAGTAAATTAAGATGATTAATATGGTTTCCAATATCAGCTAATTAAGGATGTTGTGTCCTCGCATTCAAATTTAACTTCTCCTCCATAATAGCTGAACCAAGTTTGCAGCAAATTGTTTTATGAATAAATAGGTTTGATTTAGTAGAAATATTATCCTTACGCCCAGAAGTCTTCCACAGTGTCGAATTTTGAGATGAGACGCAGGTTGGCTCGCCATGTTTTGCTTTTGTCGTTCTTGAAAAACCAAAGAGCCCACCTGCAAATCAAAATACGAGTTACTACAAACAAACTGCACGTGTTCCCTCATTAGTCACGTTGCTCATTAACAACTCCTTTCACTGGAAGAGATGCACAAAAATCCACAAAACTATTGTACCTGATATTGAGATGAGACATAAACCTGCTCGACTCCGTTGTGATAAAAAGAAAAGAGAGATAAACAGAGCTTTGGTCTTACTTGTTTTGTAATGGATGCTTGATGTAGGATTCAGGACTCAACACCTTTGGAATGGTTGTTACACATTTTTCCTTTTCAGGATTAGTAGGGACTGAGGTTGATACCTAAAAAAAAAAAAGTTCAAAGATGCATTTAAAAATACAACAAAGAAATGTCAAAAAAGAACATTTTTCCAACTGCCATGTTTCTTATCTGCCATCTGTGATGATGGCTACTGACACTGTTGCGCTGTTACAGCCTATTTGAACCTTTGTAGTTTTTATTGTCATAGCTTTGATACTTTAAAGAGTGTGCAAGAGGTGTGTGTGAGTAGATCGTCAACTGGGGGTATTTTTATTTGGGGAGTTTTAATAGTTAAAAAAAAGGGAACTCATTTTCAAAACTCATACATGTTATTCCTGTGGTTTAAAACAGTCCAAAAATATCAGTAAACATGAACAACTTTATCCAAAATCCAAAGAGTAGAGTGATTAAACTCAAATTTTGTCATCAAGCATTAGAGCTGCCCCACAGACAATGCATGGTGAAAGATGTTATAGATGACACAGAGCACCCAGGGCAATGTTCTCAGTATATTGGTACATTTTCTGTTTCAGGACTGAGAGCATCTCGGCATAAAAAAGAAAATTGTTTTGTAGGTCCACTAAGTCAGGCATTCGCGGTTTAGGGACCAGCTCCAGACTTTATACCTGATGACATCACAAGAGTGAGACTTACTTCTGGTTTCTGGCTTTGAGAGAGTAGCTCATGTTCACAAGTATTAACTGAACTTTTTCCACAGAAATAACATATTGGAATTCTTTATTCAGGCAGGGAGGGAGGACTACATGACACAGCACCCTGCGACAGGAATGTACGTTTTATTTTAGTGTTACACCGTTCCTATTCCTATTCATTTTTGTGTATTTTTTGGCACTTCAAATGAATTTCCTTCCCTGAATAATAAAGTTAAAGTCGATATGATTTTTTACACCTGTCCTTGCGACTAATACCACAATTAAACAATAAACATTTTACCCTGTTTACCCTGCATTTGTATTGAGGGCTTTGGCAGCTAATGTCATGAACAAAAATAAAAAGATTATATTTACGCATATAACCACTAAATGTAACAGGGGCAACTTAGAATCCATGAACCAACAACCTCAAATTTAGTTCGTATCCCACGGTGTCTGGGTACCTTTCCAAGATAACTTTTAAACAAATTTAAGACTTATTTTTGGACAAATCATCTTTTTCTAATTCAAGCTGCACTTCACTGCAGTGAAATATACAAGTAAGAAGTATACAGTGGTGGAAAAAAGTTTTCGGACACCCCATGCATTTGTGAAATATTGCATTAAGAATCACTCTTAGGTCTTCAAGTGCAATTTCTTTTAGTACAGTCACAGCCAAAATACTAAATAAATCCTAAAAAAGCCATTAAAAACTTAAAATTGATTGGTTCCATAAAAATACATTTTTGAGTATTGGGTCATTTTGGTACCAGTGATGAAGGTCGTTCTTTTTATTAAAAGACACAATTTTTGTTGCCAAGCTTCGTGTCTACATAAAGCCAGAACATTTGAAAGTTCATCAGACACAAAAATGGCTAAAACAAGGAACCTAACGCAGGAAACACGCCTGAAGATAAAGATTCTCAGCCAGGAAGGGTACAGCTGCCGCCAGATAGCCAGGAAGTGCAGATGCAGTCCTTCAGCAGTTGGATACACTCTGCAGAAATACAGACGAACCAACAGCTTGGAAGACAAACCAAGATCTGGGCGTCCAAGGGTTTCTTCAGTAAGAAATGACCGCATCCTGATCCGCATGTGCAGGCAAAACCGCCGAATGACATCACAGGAGCTTCAGCAGCAGTGGTCAAACCAAACTGGTGTCCAGTGTTCCACCCGCACTGTACGTGGCAGACTTTTAGATCATGGCTTAAGGTCCTACAAGGCTATCAAGAAGCCCCTGATCAATGAGAGACAGAGGTTAGCCTGGCGTCGTTGGGCCCAGGCACACAAGAACTGGACAGCCAGGGATTGGAAGAAGATTTTGTGGTCAGATGAGTCCAGTTTCCAGCTTTATCTTCCTCCTACTAATGTGAGGGGACGCAGAAGGCCAGGCGAAGCATTATCTCCAGCATGTACAGTACCTACTGTCAAGCATGGTGGAGGCAGTATCATGGTTTGGGGATGCATGAGTGCTGCTGGTGTTGGTCATCTCACTGTCTGTGATGGCACATTGAACTCTACCAAGTATTGTACCATTCTCGAAACCAACATGCTCCCTTCTGCGCGTGCACTGTTCCGTCGAGGTAAAAACTGGATGTTTCAACAAGATAATGCCCCTTGCCACACATCCAAGGCCAGTAGAACTTGGCTGCAGGAGCACAGTATCCAGGTCTTAGAGTGGCCAGCTCAATCCCTGGACATGAGCCCCACTGAAAATCTGTGGTGGATTATCAAAAGGTCTGTTTCAAAGCATAAACCAAAGAATTTAGAAGAATTAAAAGCAGTAATTCAAGAAGAATGGGACAAGATTACCCCTCAACAGTGTGAAAGGCTCGTGGGGAACATGCCAGCCAGGATTAGAGCTCTACTACGTGCCAATGGCAGGACTACTAAATATTAATTTGATGATGTGATGGTTTATTTATTTTTTGTTCAGTTTTGAACACATTCTCTGTTATTTGTTGACTTTGATATCGACAATGTTGAGAACTGACATATTGAAACTGTCAAGAATTTAGTTTTGTTAGTTTTTCTTGTAAGCAATAAACAAAAAAATATAATTTGTATTTGTTTGTATCTGTCTAATGCAGCCACACCTTTTGAAACACAAAAAAGATTTTTCCACAAATATTTCATGATAATATTTGAGATTGTGTAAAATTTTAAGGGTGTCCGAAAACTTTTTTCCACCACTGTATATGTGGTCCTGTGCAGAGGCAGGATTTATGTAAGAATATAGAGTGAGTTAGGTCAATCTAAATTTTGCAAACAGGTAAGAGCACACAGAATAAAAAGACAGTATTATATTCAGTGGAAGGTTTAAAGATTTGTAACATCAGAAATGTGGACTGTTATGCAGAAGAGCCAGACTTATTGTGACAAAAACAAGTAAAAAACTGATTGATGAAATTAGATGAGATGTTTATGGCAATTAAGACCAAATTCAAAAGGGACAGTTTGGATTTTGGCACGCCCACAGTTTGGCGAAGCAGGCAGGATTCTGACACACAGGCTAAGCAATGTACTACTGTGGACGCTAGTCAGCTAAAATACATATTTTAGCCACCTAAATAAAGACCCACTTTAAGTGGACCACTTTACCTTCCTGTCAGACAGCCCATTCTGACGGGAAGGCTGTGAATGGCTTCAATTCCTTATCAAAGCCACCAGATTTAGTTCTAAAACACAGTGATTTCGCATTGCTGAACACAGTAGTTGCTGGTCTACCACTGCCTCGATCAGTTAGTTAGTTTCTTGTATGACTTTGGTGAATCTGAACTAATCCTTTTAATCACCAAAATCACACAATAACTTTTCAAGGCAGTGGTAGACTAGCAGCCCCTGTACTCAGCAATGGTAATCACTGTTTTTTCTAAATGGAGTCTGGCTTTGAAAAGAGCACTTCATTTACCTGCAGGAAACTGTCTGACATTAAGGTAAAGCAGTGAAAACACTCTAGATATGGCATACACTTAAACAGATATTTAATTTTTTAACTGGTCCATCTATGTCCCAACCCCCACCTTTGGTCATAAGCTTATGTGTAGGGTAGTTTATGGGCATAGGTTGTGACCAAAAGAATGAGACCGTGGATACAAGCAACTGAAATTAGTTTCCTCTGTGGGGTGTCTGGGCTCAGCCTTAGAGACAGGGTGAGGAGCACAGACATCTGGAGGGAGCTCAGAGTAGAGCCGCTGCTCCTTCACTTTGAAAAGGGGTCAGTTGAGGTGGTTTGGTGTTCCAGGCACCCAGAATGCACTGGAGGGGATTACATATTTCATTTGGCCTGGGAACACCTTGGAGTCCCCCAGGAGGAGTTGGAAAGCACTGCTGAGGAGAGGGACGTCTGGGGTGCTTTGCTTGGCCTGCTGCCCTCGAGACCTGGTCTTGAATAAGTGGATGAAAATGGAAGGATTTTTTTTCTCTAGATGGCTAAAACTCGTTTTGTCGCTGACCCCTCTACAGCAGTACATTGCTCAGCCTCCATGTCAGACTCCAGCCTGCTTCTCTAAACTGGGGGTGTGCAAACTGTACACTCTACAATCTACTGTATGTAATACACTGACTATGGAGAAATACTCCACACAAACAGACTTCAAACAATCTGAACTTTCCGTTTAAGACAATTTAATAACGTTTAAGGCCTAATATGTGGAAAAATGAATACTTTTTAAGGACCTGCAGATGCTCTGATATTACCCACAGTGAATAACATCAACTCCAGATGAAGTTAAATGTCCTCGTGCAGTGAAACCTCTTCACAAACAGTAGCATTTATGGCAAATTCATCGTTTTACATCGTATAACAGGTGTTTTGGTAACCTACCAAACCCCTGACTTGTCGCTATAGTAAGGTAAAATAATTACCCTCGTAATATTGTATTCATAATGCCCGTTAAAAACGTTTATCTGTCTGTTTAAGATCCTATCCGACGGTTGACTGAGAACCGTTAGCGGCGCGTGCGTTCATTCATCCAACATCAGAGTTCATCTCAGGGGACCGACCGAGTTATCCACCCGGTCTACACTGTGTCTTCACCGGGCATCTTTCCCCCGCTCTGACACACATTACCAGCAGTAGTTGTGATTTGTACGAAGGTTAGTGGTAGGAATAATCTAAAATAAAAGGCGACTACCGTCAGAGTTAATCTAGAGTGCTGCTAATTAATATTTTTTGGCTAGCGAGTTGTGTTACCTGTCAGAGGTAGTAACAGGAAGTTCAAACAGTGACCGAGCCTGACAAGTCTCTGAGCCGTCCTTGTCTTTTAACGTCGGTGTTTAAACAGTAGTTAAACGCACAGCTTGTGGAGTTACATGTGAAACTCAGTGACTTTACTACAAGTGTGTTGCGGTGCACTCACCACCAGAGCGGTCGCCATCTTCTGGAAATCACTCTCAGATTTTTTGGCGTGTGGGGGTAAAATAGCTGATTGGGCCAGCTGGTGCTCTCTTGGCGCATGCGCAGGAGAATGGACAGGAGAACAGGTTGTTCCAGATTCCAGACCGTGGGAAACAATGTCATCTTCCTCCTGTTATTGATGATTGATAATGGGTAGAGTATAAACAATAAAGTAACATGGTTAGTAGTAAACAATTGTCCTTGAAAGGAATAGATCTGATCAATTGAATTATTCCAATGGAAAATTAAGCAATAAATGTACTTTAAGTAAAGGTGTACCTGTGATCATCATCCTTAACTTTCTTTTGTGGCATACAGAACAACAATCGAATATAGCTCCTGTGATTGAACCTCAGAAATGAGACATTAAAATAATACATAAAGTTGGTTGTCATGAATCTACTAATCAATATGTAATGTTTCTAGCATCCTACACCTTAAAATTTCCTGACATTGTGTATTAAAAAACATTGGAAATACTTTTTTCCAGTTGTGAACAAAATCCTTTCTGTCTGTGTTTAAAAAAAAAAAAAAAATTCACTGAGAAATAGAAATTATAATTCAAGAGGGGTGTTTATTTATGAACTTTGTAAAGTGAGAACCAGTGTAAAATACAGATGTGTTTCAGTTTTGGGAGTCAAGTTATGAAATTAACTATGTGCTGATTTAAAATTGTGTTGCCCTCTGTTGAGTTTTTAAAAAGCCTTACAATGTTAAATGATTACAGATTCAGCTTATTCCTTCTCCGGTTATTGAGTGTGAGAAAATTCGTGTAAATAAAGCTTTGTGAATGATGTGTGTACTTTATTGTAGTCTATTTTGTGATTGTTTTTAATCGATTCATTCATTCATAAAACTTTTTTCAGGATGATATGATCAGGCAGGGGTCCCCAAAGCCTATTCAGCAAGAGAAATATGGGCTCTCCATAATCTAACTGATTCATCAGAGTCTTTTAGCAGCATTGCCACTTTGTTACTGTCATTACAAATGTCAGTGTGTTACATGTTATCTGGATGACCTGCAATGCCAGGAGATTGTGGTACGATGTACATATGTGTACAGATTTCTCAAACAACATACCTCATATTTCTTACATCTGTATATATATATTGTGAGATATTGTAGTAAAAACACACATTTTTTGCATACTTCTTATTTCTATTTTCTTCTAATTTCTCCATGCCTGTATGCATCCTAAGAGCAACTGTAACATGTCCCAATTTCACCCTGGGGATCAGTTATGTATTTCTTATTTCTGAGATCAGGTTACTTACATAGCCCTTGATTAAAATGACAGTCTAAACCAGGGGTCGTAGATCTTTATTATCAAAAGAGCCATTTTTGACCAAAAATAATAAGGAGCCACAGAACATATTTGAACCCTATAATGAAGGAAACACAGCATATTAAGTCTAAATTAGCCAACACCACTAATAAGTCTCAATGAGCATGCATTAATATATTTTACTACAAGGTGGCTCCTCTGCAGTGGGCTGTTTGTTATTATTTGGAACTTTAACTCTGCAGAGTTGGTGGTGAAAGCAAATGGAGCTGTCCAGGAAACTAATAAATTCTTTCTTTCCCATAGCTAGCCTAGCTAGGGAGATTTAAGAGTAGCCACCGCTTTTGAGGTTTGGCAAAATTTGGAGGAAAAGATGTTTGAAGCACACTTTGGTTGATGAAATGTTTAAAGGCCACAGGGAGCCACTGAAGAAGCGCAAAGAAGCCGCATGTAGCTCAAGAGCCACAGGTTGCCTACCCCTGGTCTAAAAGATTGTCTCAGTGGACATGAACCATGCCCTCAAACAGCAAACGTCACTTCTTTAAATGTTTAAACTTAAAGGCACGAAACATGCCACACAACCTGTGGCAGTATAATTTGGTAAAACATTCATAATTTGTGTAACTGATTGTCTGATTGCACATACCATGTTATGTACATAAGCTGGAAGTCGTTAAGAGTGCAGGCAGCGTTAAGAAATGTTTGCAAATGAAACCTTGATGCTTATTGTACTGCACTTTGAGGTTATATGGCAAAAACACACAGTGAACCCAGCATCATTCTCAGTCTGTTTATCACCTCTGTTGGAGCACGTTATATGCTTTGTTTACTGTGGCCATAAATTTCATACATATATTTTACAACGTGCAGGCTTAGTGGAAACGAGCAGTGATAAACCATGTTCCTGTGGGTGATAAACAGTCATGAGGTTCACACATGAACAGCAGATACATCATGTGTGATTAATATTATCTTTTACTCAGGATGAAGCCTGTGGTCCTATCAGGCTGTGGTATGCTCTCTCAGAAACTGTGATGACCTTACAAAGAAATCAATGTAGACTATATTTAGGTACATTTTCTGACTTTTTAAATATTACCATATGTAAAACAAGTTCTTATGTGTGTATTTTATTGTAAGATTCAGCACAAAGGAAGTTTTTTTCTGTGTAAATTGTGTTACATAATGAGTACTTAGTATGAATGTGGGGCTGTGTACCCTAACTGTTAAGTAGCATAAATAACTGCTGTTTTCACACTATGAACTCTCAGAGGAGTGACTAAATCAAGCTGAAAGACTCATTGTTGACTATTCTTAGTAAGAGCAGCAGCCACATGACTTTATGTATGAATGTAACATTTTCTTTTACATCACATCAGTCTGTAAGTGAGCATCAAAAGGAAACGCAGAGAATAAATTAATTTTCAAAAAAAATTAATGACACCTTTTTCCATTTTAATTGTGTGTTCTGTTGTTAATACTGAAAGCAAAACAAGTGCAGAGAAAATAAGTGCTGCAACTATGGAAGGAGATTGTTTAAAGGCCGGATGTGAAGGACGTCTGTGTTTCAGGCACTTCAGAAGGTCAGCACTGTGCGGATACTGCAGTGAGGAAAACAACACAATTAGGTTCGGATACTAAAAAAAAAACTAGAGTCAACAGAGCAGCAGAAAATAAAAAAAGTCAAAGCAACACTTTTTTATCCACTGAGTGCATAAATTATCAGTCCGCACCTCTTCCCAGCGTGCATGAGGTCAAATCCCTCGTTGATCTTGTCAAACGGCAGAGTGTGGGTCACAAACTCATCCACCTTCAACTTCTTATTCATGTAGTCTTCCACCAGTTTAGGAACGCTCTCCACACTCTTCCACCCTGGAGGTGAAAATCAAAACCACTTTCATCACTGGGATTTTCATTTAGCCAAAATTAAACAAAATAGAGCTAATGTTTCACCAAAGGGCCTCGGGCAAGGCAATTATTCCCCAACTAAAAAAATAAATAATAAATGGCGGATCAAACTTTATTTGGTAGAACAACAAAAATACCTGAAGTTATAATAAAACTACAGAAGATTACATGCTGAACTTTTTTTTTTTGAGTCAAATTATAGAAAGGAAACTTTAGCGCCAGTTAATTATGGTGGGCAAAAAGTGGCTTCAGCATTAATAAATAAAATGTATAAACAAATATCAGAATGAATAAAGAGATACATAAATAAATATGGAAATAAATTAATTAGTAAATAATATATAAAAATACATAAGAATAAATAAATGCTAAATACAGAAAAAAATGCATAAAGACCTTCTGCCTCATTAATATACAGACAGAAATAAATAAATTGATAAATGCAGGCAGGTGAACAAAAATTAAATATATTTAGGACATTTAATTATTTATATCTCATCAACTAATTTTTTTTCATTAATGCATTCATTTATTTCAGCATTTACTATTTTTTTTTAAATTTATTTCTGTATTTATTTCCGTAATTACAATTTTTTTTCTGTATGTATTTGTTGTTCATTTATTTCTGTATTTATTTTCATATTTACAGTACAGGCCAAAAGTTTGGACACACCTTCTCATTCAATGCGTTTTCTTTATTTTCATGACTATTTACATTGTAGATTCTCACTGAAGGCATCAAAACTATGAATGAACACATGTGGAGTTATGTACTTAACAAAAAAAGGTGAAATAACTGAAAACATGTTTTATATTCTAGTTTCTTCAAAATAGCCACCCTTTGCTCTGATTACTGCTTTGCACACTCTTGGCATTCTCTCAATGAGCTTCAAGAGGTAGTCACCTGAAATGGTTTCCACTTCACAGGTGTGCCTTATCAGAGTTAATTAGTGGAATTTCTTGCTTTATCAATGGGGTTGGGACCATCAGTTGTGTTGTGCAGAAGTCAGGTTAATACACAGCCGACAGCCCTATTGGACAACTGTTAAAATTCATATTATGGCAAGAACCAATCAGCTAACTAAAGAAAAACGAGTGGCCATCATTACTTTAAGAAATGAAGGTCAGTCAGTCCGGAAAATTGCAAAAACTTTAAATGTGTCCCCAAGTGGAGTCGCAAAAACCATCAAGCGCTACAACGAAACTGGCACACATGAGGACCGACCCAGGAAAGGAAGACCAAGAGTCACCTCTGCTTCTGAGGATAAGTTCATCCGAGTCACCAGCCTCAGAAATCGCAAGTTAACAGCAGCTCAGATCAGAGACCAGATGAATGCCACACAGAGTTCTAGCAGCAGACCCATCTCTAGAACAACTGTTAAGAGGAGACTGCACGAATCAGGCCTTCATGGTCAAATAGCTGCTAGGAAACCACTGCTAAGGAGAGGCAACAAGCAGAAGAGATTTGTTTGGGCCAAGAAACACAAGGAATGGACATTAGACAAGTGGAAATCTTTGCTTTGGTCTGATGAGTTCAAATTTGAGATCTTTGGTTCCAACCGCCGTGTCTTTGTGAGACGCAGAAAAGGTGAACGGATGGATTCCACATGCCTGGTTCCCACTGTGAAGCATGGAGGAGGAGGTGTGATGGTGTGGGGGTGTTTTGCTGGTGACACTGTTGGGGATTTATTCAAAATTGAAGGCACACTGAACCAGCATGGCTACCACAGCATCCTGCAGCGACATGCCATCCCATCCGGTTTGCGTTTAGTTGGACGATCATTTATTTTTCAACAGGACAATGACCCCAAACACACCTCCAGGCTGTGTAAGGGCTATTTGACCAAGAAGGAGAGTGATGGAGTGCTGCGGCAG